TGGAAAGCTCCCATGCCAAAACAGCCTTAAAAAGGGGGTCCCGGTGTTTCAAAGCGACAACAAGCTGCCTTACCAACACCTGCGAGAGGACAAACAGATACATCCTGTCTCCGGGCACTAATCCCTTCCAACGGGCAGCCCAACCAAGCGGTGCCGTTTTCTGGGAGATTTCCCCAGACTGCTCCTTCGTGCTCAGCCGTCCTGCTTGTCCTTCAGCTTCCTCTCTTGGCTCCATCACAGCTGGGCTGGCGAGACCTTCACATGCAAGAGACACGCAGGGCGTGAGTAGCTCGCGAGCGGCGGGCGCCGCGGAGGCTGCGGGGCTGTTGTTTTCCTGGCGACGTGAGCTACCTCTCAGCTCTGCATCACCGAGCGCCGCGCAGGACTGCGAGCGTCACACTCCGTTAGTGCAGCTCTATTCACCTGCCTTCGTCAGAAAAAAAGAGAGTGTGGGCGGATAAATTATTTCCCCTTTCTTTCCGGAGGTGCAGGATCTGGGCTTTGTTGTTAATAAATTCTCATTTATACCGCTGCACCTTTTTGTTTTTACTGTTTTAAAAGAACCTTCTGTGCTACTTGCTACTACACACTTTGCAGCTGCATGATGGCAAAACAACCCATTTTGTCTCACTCTTCCTCAGTTTCTCTCTTTTCCCTTTCTTGTCTGCTTTTTCTCAGATTTAATTATAAATTTCTAGTGTAGAGATTGTCCTATTCTGTGCGTCTGGAGAGTGTTAAAGGGCTCTGGATTATGTCAAGGTGTCCCAAGGCACTAACAAAATAGGCTTTAATTCTAATAACTTATTGAATGAGTTTTTATTCAAGACTTAATAGCACTGTAATGCTTTTCCATTCAATGCAAATACGCAGTGGAGTAGCTAGCCACCTGATAATAGTATTTTGGTGCAGTATACATAGAAGCAAAAGCTTTTACAAGCTAGTGGTGACAGTGACAGATCTGGCCCATTCAATGCAATTACTACTGATTTACATCTTTCTCCAGGAGGAAAGCCCCAAGGCTTTATATTTCATATAAATATTTCTCAAGAAGCATGGGTAACGTGCATACAGACAGACGCACACCCAGGTATGCATGCACATACTATAGATAATGCTGAAAGTAACTGGCAGACTGTATTTGCCATGTGCTGACTTGGTACATTTTCACAAACACAATCAAGACTTCAGATTAAACCTCAATAAAACATAGAAGAAAAGTAAATTAAAAAGGTGAAATCAGAAATAGCAGCACTTTACACTTCAGCTGCATTGCTGCGTTCCTCTCCTATTTGTCCTAAGGCCCTGGATTTGTCCTAAAAGGCTGTGGACAGATATGTCGAAAAATTCCCTCTGTTATGTCAAGATCAGCGGGCAGGTCTGGAGACAGCCCAGAGGCAAAACTACCTTCAGGAGTGAGTTGTGCCTCACTTCTGGTAGACTTTTGTCTGGTAGATTTGTGGAAATCTAACATCCTCATCCCTTGCTCCTGAATTCGTGCCTCATGAAGGCCAGGATTTGAGTTCCACAAGCACTTTTCCTTTGCCATGAGCCTGCAGTTGCTAGAAAAATCCTTTGGCAGAAGAAGGAGGCCTCTGACAGCTGTAGCAGCCATAGGGATTGTCAGAGCAACCTAAAACTTCCAAACAGCACCAAGAGTTCAGCCATCCTTGATCCTTGCAGTTCAAGAAAAACAAACTCTTTGGATCAAAGCAGTGATCTCTCATTTCTATAATATATTCACCTGCATAAGCTGCCAAAAACAGATGACACACCACACTACCATGCAATAATCCACACAGGGAAACTTCTTATCCACTCGCAAGGTAGTGGTTGGCTTCCTTAATTCAGGAAATGTCTATATGGGACCCCCTCTAACTCCATTCCCCCCTTCACTGGACTCTATGTACGAGTACATAAAGGACAGAAGAATAAACTGAGAATATATATGTTCTATTTGAAAAAAAAAAAAAAACAGGTTTAGAATACTAGACTTCAGTGAAATACTGAAGGGCACTATTGCAGTGACAGGTGAGGCAATGCCTTCCTGCACAATATCCAACTGCTACTGCAGGCAAGGCAGCAGCAGCTCCCAAACCAACTGATCTGTCCCGAGAGCCTTCAGAGGCAAAGCAGCACATGCCCAGGACCATGCATCCTGACTGCATTTCTCAATCAAGTCAGCACTTTGCAAGAAAGTTTTGTCCTCTGCTTATGCAGAATTAAACGATATATTTGTGGGATGAAAAGATTTGTTCCTTACCAAAGGATTTTATTAATGGTAAAACCAAATTTAATCTAGCAATGAAAAGATAGTGGTTAGACATTTAAGTTTTACTCACATCCATTACATTCTGCCTGTGATAATTTTGCATCTTGGGTTGCAGTGACTTTTTCATTGGAAATCCCTTCCGAAAAAAAAAAAAAAAGTGGCTTCTCAGGTGGTGATAACTCTTAGGGTCTCTGGCACTTATGTAACATAGCTGCATAGCTGCGCTATTAAAACATCATTTCAAGAGGAATGAAGAAAACACAAACATCATGGGTTGGTGCACACACAGAAGTGGTGCTCCATATCCCTCTCAATCTGTCCAGCTTCTCATGATCACTTCATCTGGCAAGAGTTGCCCTCTGAAGGAAAGAATGGCCCAGAATGAGGAAGCATTGCAAAGCATAAACACGTCCAGAAAAAATAACCTTTAAGTAATCTTTTTTTTAGCACTGTGGTGTGCTGGGGCAGCAGACAGAGAGCTGTCAGACATCCCAAACAGAACTTGGGTCCTTACATTCCCTTCTCCATAGGAATCTGAGTGGTGGCCACTTCCCTATACGTCAGAAACCTCTCCTGAACTTCTTTAAACAACCAATTTCATAGCTGCTTATGGATGGATACAACTCACCACACAGAAAAGACTTTCTTCTTGATGCTCTCTGCATTTCTAACTCATCTAACAAGTTAGGTTAAATCTTATAACCAATACATAAGGAGTCATGCTGAAAACAGTGGGAATGTTACTTCCCACACCTGCAGTTATCCTAAGGCAGCATCTCTTGGATTCCTCCCTTAGTAACCTTTTCTGCATCTTCCAGGCATGATGCAGCACCAGCTATTTCTACTCGCTTGATCTCTGATCTGCTGCTCAAAAGTCTGATACATCTATCTTCTCCAAACGGTAGGAGAAAACAGTGTCAAGGAGGAAAGCATCTAGTCCCTAAAAGCATCAGCATTAAAAGTTATAAAGAAAAACAATCCAAAATAGCCCTTGCTGGTACTACAGCCTGCCTGGAGGAAAGAGGGATTTATGACAATCAAAATCATCTCGATATTTTCAATTCCATCCTGGAAAAAGCTCAAACTCTAGTTGCCAAACACTTGTGGTTGGTAGATCTTTCATTTGTACTATGAAACCACATGGAGAGCTCCTCAGGAGATAGCACACAGCTTAATTCAAGCACTAGCAAGAACCTGGACAGATCCATGTATCCCGCTATGTTTACCACTAAACCTTACAAGGCATCAAGGCCATTCTAAAATCAGCTTAATAGCTAACTGGAAAAGCCAGTTAGATCCATTCAGTTGAACTGCAGACTTCATTCTCTTTGAAGCCTAAAATATGTTAACAGAGCTTATAGCATAAACAAACTTGACAATGTTTACCCAAATAAGAGGTCTGACCACCTGACCATCATCTGACACATTAAAGAGGAATGAGAGTCTTCACAAAGGGCTGGCTCAGTCTCTATGCCAGGGACATGGCTGCCAGTCTCCTGAGTTACTTTTTCGTAGATTCAACTTACAGCAAAGTTGGTGCAAATTCAAAGTGCCTTGGTGCAAATAGAAAGTATTAGAAATCATATCTACCCTGTCCTGTAAGAATTAGCAGGGATAAGCTGCAGGCTTTCAGGGTTGTGAGAGGAACAAGTGAAATATTCTGGCATTGCAATTGGGAAAGCTGCAGACTTCTACCAAAATGGTCACATTGAAAATAACAAAGGACACTGGCATTTAAGGTGCTCCTTTTTGATTCCTGGGTTGATGGTCTCATCAAGAACAATACAGCTACTCAGAGCTCTCAGTGAAACTGTGTCAGGGTCTCCAAAGATTCAAGATGGCACCATCCTCATGTAGTTCTTCCTTCATGTTACCTCTGCCAGCCAAGAGGCAAGGGAAGAGTTCACCTGCTCTTTGAGAAGATCCAGCTCCAGAACACAGGGCTGTGAAAAAATCTGCGACAATGACTTAAACTACAGCTTCGAAACAAAAAGCTTCAGGTAGACACATGCACAGATGCAAAGTGTCTACCTCCAATCGCTCAGATTATGATAGGGAAAAACCTTCAGCCCTACCTTCTGAAAGAAGCAAAGAAACTGGTAACAAAAAAATACAATCTTTCTGTATCATTACAAAAATGCTTACTTAGACACAACAGTGCTCCTCCCTAATGTTAAAGGGAGAGGGGAAAAAAAAAAAAAAAGTTAATCACCCTAGTGGGCTATAGAACAACCCAGAAATACCAGTGATTGTCCCTTGCACTTACTTGTCTGGGAGCACTTAGCATGCTTAAAATCAGCAGCCTTCACGCTGGGAAAAGTAAATATTCTTTGCAGAGTTCTTGCAACAACGGTGCAGGAAAGGAAATGGGTCTCACCCATACGCCAGGAAAAGCATTGAAGTTTCAGATCTACTTTCAAGCTCAGTTGATGGAGTTTGGCCGCAGCATGAGCCAAACTAATTTCCAAAAAGGAAAAACAGATCAAGAGAAAAGAAAGAAAAGAATTAAGTCATGCAGAAAATCTGGGATCCTGATGGGCACTGGACTGAGATCTATGCATTTCTAACCCAATGCCTTTATGCCTTCACTGGTATCATCTTTAACAGACTTAGAGAAGAAGCTTTGCAAAAGGAGAGGCATCTTTTAGCACTCCTCTCTACTTGAAATAAGTTCTACTGAACGGAACATTCTTCTCCCTGCTGGTGGGCAGCTCAGCTCCACCCCTGGACAGCCTCTTCCCGGCTCGGCGGGGAGCAGCGCGATGCGATGCCGGAGCGGGCGAGGAGCAGAGCTGCCGCCTGGCTGCTCAGCAGCTCCCTGCCCAACTGCTGACTCACCCGCTTTCTCTGCATCCATTTTCACACTGCTCCCACTCAGGCCACCTGCCACTTCATGTGGAATGGGTGGGAGGAGAGAAAAGGGGTGAAGTCAGAAAAAAAACGTTCACCGTCACCCATGCCCGTTATGGGAACACGGCAGGTCACC